CATGGCTTATTACACTTGGTCGTTCGCCAATATTTGGGTAGACGAAAGACATTACTCGAATTATGGCAAGCAATATTTACGGAAGACGGTGTCGGGTAACCAAAAACGAAAAATACCCGAATTCGGGCGTACTCGACTCTGTCACTTAGTCGTTTAACCGAATTCCATTGGCAATCGTATTCGGGCTAACGACCAACTGTAATTGAGCCATAGGGTATAGTGTAAAAGAATAAATCTAGCTTAGGATCCTGAACTGATTAATTCATAATGAAAAATGTAGTTATTGGATAGATAGCATAATAGTGGCCACTTACCATTCTGCCGCTTGACAAACTGACCATGTGTGGGGAAATATTTTTGAAGAACATACCACTTGACGGAAGGATATTGGCTTGATCAAGAAGCATGATGGTGAGTGGTCATTATAAGGGGATCATAATAATGCAATGAGCCGAACATTCTACAAAAGAAACAATATGGGTGGCAGTGACAAAGATACAATCAAAATCCGTCACCGATGCAGTAGGCTCGATTTTGTTCACAGATTTTCTCCCTTTTCATTGAAGCAGCACTTTTGGTTTCTTTTCGTCAGAACTAAAAATGGTACAGGTTATAAAATAGGTAAACTGGAAAGGAGATTAAAGTTTTTTTAAATCATCAAACGCTGCTGGGACTTCTTAAATTTATCAATATTATATAAGAAAAATAGTTATATTATAATTATATAACAAAAAATTACTTGTTTTTATTGGTAATATAATCTGATTGGGTGATTGCGTCAAAATCGAGCCCAGATGCAAACTTTACCTATAAAACATTAAATAACATCAAAAATATCACAAATAAATTACTAAATACACTTAAATATTTTTCAAAATGTTTATGGTGGAATAAAATGTGTTGTAGTGGATATTTTTCTGTATTTTGATAAATGATAAGACAAGAATCTTATTAACAGACAGATCCCGTACGTTGCAGCTAGTAAAAATAAGGTATTCAGGATATTCATATATGTATGTGCCCACACTTACTCTTAGGCCCTTCGTATAATGAAGTTTCGCACGCGTTGCGGACATTTTGTTTTGTATTGCGGTAGTCTCTCAAAGACCACTTCGGTAAGGTAACAATATATGTACAAGTAATAAAAAATGCGACGGATAGAACGTAACAAGACTCAAATACTTTGAATTTTGAAAATTTATTAATTAACATTGTTAAAAACATAATAGAAAACTTACAATAGTAAAATATTATTACAACCTAATACTAAATCTTAGAAAATAAAAAAAAAGCGTTAGTAAATCTTAGAGTTAATAAAATATAAAAAAGGAAACAAAGAATTTGCTCATTACAATCAAAATGCGTAAATAACACCTAAGCTGCGTTGCCATTTCCATCATTTCGAACGAAGGAACAACAAAGTCATCACTTACATTTAGATACAGATCTTAACATTCTATCTCTCTACATTCACTACTAACCTTGCCAAAATTAAAAGTCTGCACATATCGGATCACTGAAATATCAACAACGCCTCATGAGATATATACCCCGTTCTATATATATAAAATAGCGACATTGCAATTTCTCTGAATATAATCATTGTCCGAAAAACAGAATCGGATTTATCGTCACAAAAACCGAGTTCACCGGGCTTTCTCGATTAGAGGCTATGCAACGTAGACACTTTTTGCTACCGACTCGGACACCATACACCATCACAGGAATCCTGTTGTTGTTCCTGTAGCGGCTATCGGACACAATTGCCAGTTGCTACTGACTGACTGACTCTACTAAGTTAACGAACAAAACGCGTCTCAAAAGTTTATTTATTACAGTTTTTGTAAATAAAACATAAATTTTAAACATAATATATCTACTTTTTTAGATTTAAACATCTAGCAGTTAAATGCTTAAAAATAAATAAAAACAACTATAATTGCTATTTCTTCTTTCAAATGTTTACTACTTGAAAAGTATTCATTTGACATTGTGGGTTACCTACAATGCGAAGAGATGGCGCTGCCTTGCAGCTTAAGGCTAGGAAAATTTCGACGCGATCAATAGGGCCGTGGTAACATAATGGTCAGTGCATTCGCCCGGATTACGAAAGGTTCGAGTCCCGTCCGCTGCCTGGTCCGCGTGGATTTTTTTCTAGTAAACTTTTCTTTAGATTTTAACATCTAGCAGTTAAATGCTTAAAAATAAATAAAAACAACTATAATATATCTAGATAAAAATAGATAAGCAAATGTTTGTTGGTTTTAAAGAAATAATTAATATTCATTAGAAGCTTGTATCCTTAGTTTCAGTTGTAATCTTGGTGATAGTAATAGCCACATAAATATTAATAACTCCAAAAAAAAGAATAGCATTGAGATGAGTTGCAATGTCGCATAATTATATAGCCCCCCTGAGATCTTATCATGAACTGGACACCAGGCAAAATCCGCTGTTGAAGCGGGATGTTGCTCTACTATGCGTACGTGATGTCTCTCTTTAATATTAAAACTTGTCTGCCGCTAAGAAGTCATAATGCGGTCTGTTTTCTGTTCTATTTTCGTTATGATTCTGATTATTGTGTACCTAATGAAGCCTAGAAATTTATTCAAAATATATTCTGAGGGGCTCGTGTTTAGCCAAGCAATCCGATATGTCCTAACCTTAAAGAAATACTTTCCACTTTTTTATCTTAATTCTAACACTTAGTAAATTTATCATCGACTTCACAAAAATATTTACAAGTTTACACATATACAATCCAGGTAAGATGGTATACAATGTTTCGTTATTAAAGGTGAGTTTGAATTTTAACTTTTACTGTTCAGTCAACGAATCGCTTAGGTAAAAATGGGTTGCACCATTTGATGATAGTCCAAATGAGGTCATAATTTGATAGTGACAATAACTTTTCAAGCTAGGTCAGTTAAAGTTATGGAAAAGTTTAATTTTAACTAGCTCTGTGGTGCAACTCACAGTAAGAAATTAACAACAAGGAGTTATCATTATAATTAGTACACCTATGCTCAGCAGTGAATGACGAAGAAAGTCTGGGGATCTCCCCACTAAAATGACTATCAAACATCATCACCAAGCTCGCTTTCATCATCATCGTAAGTATTACAGTGGTGTCCATACTGGCATGGTACTCTAAACTTAAAACTAAATATAACAACAGTCTCTCCTTTTGTTTAGACAATGACAAGGATACACTGTTGTCAAATTTAAGTTTAGGATTCGAGAATCACACCAGAATCGACACCTCGATTAGCTCTCTTACTCAACACAGATAGCTCGATGAGTTTATTCAGTCGATAGTATTTAAGGTTACCGGTTTTGCAAATGTAAGGTTTTTCCTAAAGTATACATTAAGACTTGGTAAGACTACTAGCAGTACTAATTTTATTTAATTAAATAAAATTATGTAGCCTTAAATATCCAATCACTGTCAAAACTTACACGTAGATAGTATTTTTTTTTATAATTGTATGTCACAATTTCCATAATTTGATTAGTTTTTTTTATGACTTTATAGTCCTGATGAAATTCCCAGAAATAACTAAATAACAATAATACAATGTTTAACGTACAAGATTAACCTAAAGTGTGGTTAAAATGTTTTTCCCAAAAATAATCACTTCTTATTACGACTAAATATGGTTTTGTTAAATGCGCTCTTGAGAACATTAGCTTTCGGTTTATGAGAATGTTTATATTTATTCTCAATCATGTGGTTGAAGTTGTTCATAACGATGAAAGCAGGGCATTTCTCTTCAATTTCAGAGCATTTCCACCGCAAGACGCCTGGTGTATCAGTAAGATCCTCGTTGTATGTGTGACCTTTGAAGACTAGTATTTTTCGGCCCGACGGTGCTTCGAAGACTCCGCCGACTATTACTTGTTTATTTACTGGAATAAAACAATTCATTTTACTTACTATTCTGTATTTCCTTTTTTTTCCTTTTTTATTTTTATGTAGGCAAACGAGGTGGAAGTCCACTTGATGGTAAGTACCGCCGACTTGCAGAACCAAGGGTACCACTCATTCGTTGTCGGCTCCGAAAGAAAAGGTAAAGAAAAAGGAAGTTCGTTCCAGATCCTGCTGGTGCGCAAGATCCTTAGGATAATATCACGATGGAATGTAGCGCGGAAAAAAAATGAGGATAAATTCTTAAAGATTTTATTTCTATAAACTTCTTAACATAAATAAATACTGATTGATATTGACTAGACGTAAAATCATTTTGATATTTAATTAACAACTCCTACAGTTGTTGTTGACCGACTTTTTCTAAATCTTATTCGCTTGTTATGGCAACGTTACACGAGTTGTTGATTAGTACAGTAACCAATGGTAGCCGCTCTAGTATAGAAGTTAAACATTATTTTTTCTTGTGATAATATAATAAATATAGAAACATAGGTTCTCGCTACATTATTGATTGACAAAGCATTAAGGGTTAATGCAAGATTAACATAACATTTGAACACAACAAAGAAGACGTCAGAAACTATAGCGACTTTCAAGTTATTTTTAATGCTAGACTACTAATTACCCCACTTCAACTGATGATAAGTGTAAATGGAGCCAGGTCGTGAAGATAGATGATGCTGCAGGTGTGCCGCTCCAGCCTTCCTTACCTTGCCGGCCTGAACCCAATTCCCTACCCCACAGAGCTCTGGAACCCTACTTAGCAGTAGAAATACAACACCACCAAAAGGTAGTGATATTTTAATGTAGTCTTCTGTGAGGTGGGAGTTGCATCCCCAGGCGAGCGCTACAATTCGAGCCGAATCACCGCTGTATTCCACCTCTCTTACAAGACACTTGAGTTTATAAAAAAAAGGGTCCACGATATATTTTCACTCAATATCTGTCCAGTGTGGATGATACATTTTTAATCAATATGTAGCGACGTATAGTCCATCTTCAGTAACTGTAAACTGTGGGTACGGATGACAATGCTGAAGGTTAGCTTTAATGACGATATTGGATTTACTGAGATGAAGGTACGCCTTGCAAGGCTGAGACGCATGAAATTTGGAGCACCGCCATCTGAATCCGTTTTTGATAGGGAAGTGCCTATAGAACATGTAGCCTCTGAAGATCAATCCTTGTCCGTTTGGCCTGCTGACTAAAATACCTGTGAACAAACACAATATGAAGCAGCAATAGAGCTTAATCAGAAATTGTAATTAAATAGAGCTATTCATTACCTCATACATTGACTTACAACACGCGCCGAAAATCAGAATTCCATATTTATTTAAGTATTCATAAATAAATAAGAAATTCTAAAATTATAATTATAGCTTTATCTTTATACTTCAAAACTAACTATGATCTGCGTCTTCCCATGGTAAAACCGCCGGATGCCAGAATAAAGGTTTACACGAAAACTGGCAAAGGAGGCTACCCAAATTGTTTTATGCAGAACTTAGATACATGTTCAAAATAAGGATTATAATAATTTTCTAATTTTAATTATAATTACCTTGTTACCTAAATTAAATCAATAATATTGCTTGTACCTTTTACATACCTTTTCGATGGTGTTCTACAAGGGTAAAGAAACATTTTATATTAAACCATAAAACCCGTTGTCGAATGATAATTCTGGTACAGTTTGCAGTAGACAGTGTCCCTAGTTTAATCATTAATTTATTAAAAGCTAGAGAGTTAAAGGAAAGAAAAATATTTGTATTAAAACAAAAACGTACTAGCAAAACCTCTTTTAAAGCTGTTTAAGAATATTAGTCGTGATCCAATAAACATATTTTGATTTAAACTTACAATGGTCAATAAACAACCCCGGCACCTCATTTTCTTTCTGTTAACGCATTCCCATTGAATGTGACCAGTGCAATTTTTTCGTCTAATCGTGTACTGATGGCCATTGTGTAAAAGTATTTTACCACTTTTTCTTTGAATAGTTACAAGGTCACCTTCTACTTCATCCCAAATGTAGAGATCTTGTTCTGAAATATTCATACTTTTAAATAAAATATTACTTATCGCCGGCAACTTGTAAGTAATTCAAACTTAGAAGGGCTCCTAACAATATTGATTTAGTTTGGTAATAATAAAACAAATATTTTTTTAGAACACATGGTTTATTGTCCAACTTTGTAACAATTAATAACTAACCCAGACCCATCATTTAACATTTATTAACTATAAACAAGACAATTTTTTTTATTTATTGCAGTTTAATTGCTTTCAGACTTAATATCTTTTCCCATCAATCCTTTATATCTATACCAAGTAGATTTTAAGCTGTTAAATGTTGGAATCTCGCCTGTTTGGTCAAGACCTAGCTCTTTAATTTTTGCTACAGCTGCTTTATACACTGCGACAACTGAGGTATCCTCCAATGTTGTAAGCTGCGATTTGTACTGGTTCAATACCTTTTCTATTTCGTTTTTCACCAAATTTTGTTGACAGGAGTGGTCGAAGCTTTTTACTACTTTGTTCTCCTATAATAATGACAAATAAAAGAGAAATTGAGGGGTTTTACAAAATTAACTCTTTGCTTGATGACATGGTCTATTTTATAGTGACACAAGTCGACCACGCTTTAATATAGGAGCAGGACAGCATAATGATATATTAAAAAGTGAGTCGTTGTTTGGGATATTATATACAAATGAGATGATGATATAAACTGATGATAAAGAATGAAAAAGAGCTTAATACCTTTTTAGTTAGTAAATGAAGTAAAGCTGAGGGATACTGATTTCTAAACATCATAATATTATGATGTTTAAAACCGTTCAAAGTCAGATGTTTCCAAACGATATTAAAATGGTGAAGGTTTTGCTAGTGTTGTCAAAACTACTGTCTACCACAACTATACTTAAACTTACCTTTATACAGAGCCATCCTTTGCATGCCATTTTCCTAGCATCAACACAGGTCCAAACCTCAGAACCATCTTTACCTTTTCTTTTTAACGTGAGCTGATAACCGTGATATAACATCACAACTCCAAACCGCCTTTTTATGTATGTCAATTCAGTACTTACTCTAGACGATTCTGGAAATGAAAAACTTAAATACGTTTATTTTCTGGATTCTCAATCACAGATTCACAGGATCTTTTTCTATGGGGATATTAATATGCAAAATGAGAATACCATTTTCTATTCTAAGCCTCTAGGTACAGTATTCATAGCTACATAATTAAAAATAAATCAAGGAAAAAGACATCAATATAATTTTTATTCTACAAACAATCGAAGAGGAGAATTTTGTACTAAAAATATAGTGTTTTATGTGGTTTCAGTAAGATAAATTTTTTATACGGATATAATTCTGAAAATTTACTAGACATGGGCGTTTTTGGTTTTGAACGCAAACGGATATATATCGGATTTCAGATTTCAAAATCGATTTCAAAATCCGTTTTTAGATATCCGATTTCAGATGTGCCTAACTAAGCCAATTCACTAGTTTGCGTTAAGATTTGGTTTTATTAGCTAAAAAAACGGGCAATGACTTGTTTTTACAAATTTTTTTTTAGTATTTTTTTTTTGATGAATTTTATTTTTCTGTTTGTTTTTATTATTTTTCAAACCATTTACAAAATCAAACCTAATTCCTTCAGGTTAGGGTTCATAAATGTAAGTTGCTCGACTTTTGATGTTTTTAGACGACACCTCTTTTCAGTGATAAATAATCCCGCCTTAGAGAAGAGCAACAGATTTCCTTAAACAACAAACCGAAATCGGACTTCCGAAATTTGCGCCATCTTTTTTACTCCGCTTTGTTACGATTGGTAAGAAAGAGACAAAGAAATTCACTTTCTCTCTTTCTAACCAATCGCTACATAGCGGAGTAAAAAAGATAGCATGAATTTCGAATCCGATTTACATTTGGATACTTGTGGTGGTATTAGATCGCTGGCGTTTTGGTTCGGTTAGATTTCTGAAATCGGATTTTCTTGTTGAGAAATCGTTCGGTATCGATTTGTGTTTGAAATCGGATTTTGGATTCGTTTTGATATATCGGACGCATGCCTAAAATTTACTGATAACGAATCCTTTTTTAAAAGATGGACCATTGAACAAAGTTTGATAATAAGTTTAATCTATACAACACAATTCCAGAATAATAATATACCTATGTCATTCTTTTACAAACTTAAAAATAAATCATCACACGCACTTTTTAATCACGATTCTGAAGTGTAGTTTTAGGTACTAGGCCATTCATTATTTCTAAAAGCAGATCAGTGTCAATTTTCTGAATTTCATAATCTCAACATTTCAATATAATTATATAAATGGGGTACAAAAGTCAGTAAAGATATTCTAAAAGAGACACTTATCTGTTCTTATATAGCAGCACTTTATTTATTCGCGTTCAAAGGATTGTTTGGTTCTATACAATAATTTTCTTAAGCTAGCGAGTGTTGGGATCTCTCCAAGCAGATGTAGTCCGGACTCTTTGATCTTGGCTACAGTTTCTTTGTAGACTGCAGCAGCAGAAGCAAGATCGTCAGATAGGAGCTGCCTCTTGCAGTGATCGAACATCTTGGCTATTTCATTTTTGGCATAGTCCGGTGTGCAAGTTGAAAGATGTCTCCTCTGTCTTAGAATTGTGTTTCCCTAAAATTTATTAAACAGGTCTTTGAATAATATAAGCCTCTTTGCATTACTTATTCAAATATGTAAAAGGACGATTAAATTACTCAATGGAATCTCTGCATTTTATGTATAATCAAATAGGGGCGCTGACAAGATAAAGCAAACGTAATTTAGTTCATCAGCATATTTGTTTCTTAGGTTTTCACGCACATCACTCATTAAATAAAACTAGTTTTTACGGGTTAATGCACGAAACTTTATTTATTTATTGACGTTTCGCAGCCTTTTCAGGTCTGCATCGTCAGAATAATTTTTTTTTATTCTGATGATGCCATCGAAATAAATAAAGTTTCGTGCATTAACCCGTAAAAACTAGTTTTATTCATCAGCATAGTTATAGAATAACCAAAAATTACATTGATTAAGCGCGTGAAAGTTTGAGATTGGGGGGCTCGTGATGTCGTCAGTTTTATATAAGCAAAAATTGCACCAACACGTGACATCATGCGACATTTTAATTAAATGTATCTCAGTAATGGAAAAAAAAATAAAAAATACAATACTTTTTGATAATCTACCTGATAGGTGAAGAAAAAAAAGTTAGTCATCATCCCTATCACAGAACACAGAAAGAGGTTAGAGGTCGGGGCAGGCGCGCCACAGTTATGTGTGAGCAAATGATCATAATTTGACCAAAACTTGGTTCTGATTGCGTCTTTGCTCTCAGGTGTGAGCGCTGACTGGTTCGATTGTTTGATGTCGCGTCGTTTAATTGGATATTATCTATTCGGTGGAAGTGTAGCGGGGGCGAGCTGGCGACATCGGTTTCCGTACAAACGGTATAATATGATCACCCTTCTAACCTCTTTCTGTGTTCTCTGATTCCTATTGTCAATACATTCAGTCGGTGATGAAAACTTACTTTGACGCAAATATTTCCAGCACAACTGAGGCCTTTTCTTTTGACGCAAGCCCAGTTGATGACTCCACTTTTGCAGTGTCTTTTCAGGGTATACTGATGGCCTCCATACAAGACGACGGTACCGCCACGTCGACTTATGAAGCACGAGTCGGTCAGCTCTTCTGCAAGAGCAAAAATAACACTAATCTTATCAATATGTCATTACAAGGGATAGCATGACACAGGCTTTGTCTTTGATAAAAAGTACACTAGAACGCGAGCAAAGGTTTAGCTTTTTAATTAGGTAGCTTAATACGACATCTGGTTGTGCTTGTGTAGATGACACCACGATTTCCCTTAATAGTCCTCTCGACCAAAAGTAATATGTTGTGTTGTCGACACAACTACTTACATTTTTACAGGGTAGTAAAACACCCGATATGGTCCAGAAATTTTGTAGGTGATTTGCCATCGAAGCCCTCAGCAGTGCAAGTATTGCAATATGGTACAAAACACTTACTTCATATGTAAATATGTAGTTTTATGTTTAGTGTTCACATATTTACTCAACATACCTAATAGTTCTTTAAATAAAATATTTATAGTCACATTCAAACAATCACTCTTTATTCCTGATTATTAAATATTCTACTTCGATTTCTGTGGCTGGATTGTTTTTATCCACCCTTCTAGTTCTAGATATCCGTCTTTTGTCAAACTATAATCTGGCGGGTCGTGGTTGTGATACTTGGACAAACTGATGACCTGATGATCTTCAGACATGTGGAGTTGAGCTTTGCATTCCCTGATGCCGTTCCTGCAGACGAATAAGTAGCCTCCTTCGGGGTGGCCACTCACTTTCGTGAAGATGTACTGTGCGTTGACCAACACTGATACATTGCCATTGCGGGTTTTCACGAATATTACTGTAAAATGGTTCATATTATAATTATCAATTTATATATATATTATCTTATATTATTATCATCATTCTACCAATATTGTGAAAGTAAAATTTTGCATGTTTATTTTACACAACTTTATTACGCAGCAACGCCCAGGAATGGCTTTCGCAATTTACACGCAGAAAATTCTGTGAAACACAAATGTGACGCAAGCAGTCAACCAAAATACACTGGGGTGGCTCTATTTCAAAACATAGCAAAGAGTTATCGTATTTATTAAATGTTCATAATACTAGGGAAACCCAAGCGGGGACTTTTAGTATTTCTCAAGCGAGGCAGAATAACATAAGGGGGGCAAACTTGCACCTTGTGAAGTACTCTCACCATCAGAGCCCTTCTTTCAGAGCATCTAAACCCTTTAAATAGGGTTGGACGTAGGATAACTATCCGTCCGGATTAGTCCGGAGATGTGCGGACTTTAAGACTATAGATAGTTCGGACTTTGTCCGGATCTTAAGATTGTACAGATTTTTAAATAACATTGAATATGAATAATAAAAGTAGTTATTGATGTAAATACCATACCATTGTAATTAAGTGAGGTACCGTAAGTGAGGGTTACTTTAGCTCGGGCGGGTAACTTTGTCCCAAATCAGAAAAAATATTGAACTTGCCGCCCCGTCAGTATCTCTTGGGTGACCGTAATAGTTCCAGTTGAAAATCACAGATAGCCATTTAGGCGCGTAGTGTGGTGTTGTTTTACCGACATCGTTCCCGTATCAAGTTGGCATTGTAACGCGGGATTTTTGTAACTGAAATAGTTCGCAAGTTCATGCGCAAACTTTCTCAAAACTGTGGTTTTCGGTAAGTTTACTATTTTTTCTAAATTTAAAGTTATATTTTTTATTTAACTTAATTATTTTTGGGCAAAAACATCCATTTGTGTATTTAGTATGCTAATGGTGATCTGTTATAAGGATTACTTAACCCCAACATGGCTTAATGCGAGTTTTTTTCACAGAGAAAACTCAACGAGCTAAAGTAACCCTCTTTAAGGCCAACTTTGGCCTAAAATTAAAAAAAAATATATTAACCCTTAAATATTCTTTTTTCCTATTTTCGTATGATAACTTTGTAACTTATACTTTAAAGTTCACAATGGAAAGATGTAAACGTGACATATTCATCACAAAGAGAAGCTACGATTTTATTTGAAAAAAAAAGTGCACATTTTAGGTCAAAGTAACCCGCAGTTACTCGGTACCATTTTGTGACTAAAGAGTCCGGACATTTTTCAAAATGTCAGGATTTTTGAAATTCCTAAATGGTAACCCTTGTCGGACGTCTACGGCATCAAAACCATTTCAACAAACAGCCATGACCTCTGTTCGCGTCAAAATCGTCAGTCTTTTGACTAAGAAGTTCGACCTTTAAGGGGCTTAGGCTTGGTAAGACTCCACAAGGTGCAAGGTTGCCCAAATTGTTGTTCTGCTGCGCTCGAGTAAATCCAAAAATCTCCGTTTGGACTCCCCTACTATAAGTCATTGTGAGACTAAGTAGACGGAATATAACGAAACAATGTCGTTTATCGTGATCGTCATCCAGCCTACTCTTATGCCGCGTACTCATTAGGCAACATTTGTGTA